GTGCAATGTATCCATATGCCATTTTAACCCAATTTTAACCCAACAATCACCGAAGGTCTACCCATTTAGGAAATCTGCTAATTAACCTTCCCACAACATAAAATTGTACAAAACTGTCCATCGGTTCAACCTGAAAAATTACGTAACAGGGTAATAAGCAAATGAAGTAGTTTTATTCAACCTAAATAACTAATTTGAATGAACAAATTAACACAGTTGTTTATTATTACAGGAAGTAATTTTGTTTTGATTTCAGGTTGATTTCAGGTTGTTCAGGCATTAAAACCTTCCTATGTTAATCAGTATAGCCTTATATATGAAGTTTAGTTTCACTGCTTTTGCCACCTGCCTCTGTCAGACTTAGAATTTGGTTGCATCTTTACTTTATATAATCCAAATAATCTCAGTTACAAATGTGGACTCATCAGTCCATCAAACCTAATTCCACATCTCAGATATCTGGTTTTGATGTTCTAGTGCATTTTTTTTTCTTTTTTGCACACTCCTTTTTCTCAGTAATAGCATCTTGACAGCTACACATCCTTTCAGACTCACAGTGTTGAGTTGTCTTGACAGTGGAAGGATGGACAGAAACACCTGTGGATTTTTCAGATCTAAAGCAGCTTGATTTTCTCCTCTCTCTCAAAGATGAAAGCTTTAAGTGCTGTTTATCTGATGGGGACAGTTTTGGTGGTTTGCAAGGTTTTTTCTTACTTGTGGCTTGAATGCTGACCATATTATGCCCGACTGCCAATTAGTTGTGGTTGTGATGTTACAACACATGGATGTTTGGTTGTCTCAGATTGGTTGAACTCATCTACAGGTAGTTTTACAAGCTCTATATAGGGTTGAAATTCCCTGCGTAGGAACAAACTTAAGACAACATTGTTGATAATGTAGGCAATAAAAAACAATAGCAGCTCTTTCTCCCCCTCTTTTTCTTTTTCACTGACCTTATATGCAAAAACAAGAACAACACAACCTTTCCCCTCACCTGACCACAGTCTTGTGCTTTTCAATTTCATTTCTTAATAAGTAATTTAGAACTTAGAATTACTCTTCATAGTAGTACAGAGAAGGGTAGTAGCTAATAAGTCTGCTAAACTGATCAACACAGTTAATTCAATACAAATCTATGTTGTTTGCACTGGACGAACTTTCAGAAGGATGCTACATTATAGTAATATATCAATAATATAGGTAAAGTATTATGATGAATAAAATCATGAATCAAAAAATTGTAATAAAATGATTCTAAGATGATATTCCATAGCTTTCAAATAATATTTAAGAAGCTGTAAAAAAATATACTTTCAATAATTAAAACAGCTGCAGATGATTTCATAATATCTGAGAAAGCTGTACACTCTGTAAAAAGATGGTTTTTCAAGGGTTCTTTAGTGAAGACAAGGGTCTATATAGCACCAAAAAGGGTTCTGCTATTGTTATGATGCCAAGCTTGTAACAACAGAGAAACCGTTTTTGGTACTAAATAGAACCGTTTTCAAGAAGTTTCACTCTCACTGCATGAATTCTAATTATTCATAGCAACAATCTACTAGATGATGCTACGCAACATGACGTGTCCGGTGTGCAGTGGTCTTTAGTGCCCAAGATGTCCTTCCATCGCAATTAAAATACCTTCAGTGGGTAAACATGAATCTCATTCAGGACTGACAACTTGGCAAGTTAATTTCATGATGTATAGTAGATTTGTATAGAATTATGACAGTAATTACGACAGTCTTCAATCAGCTAAACCGATTAGCTATCTGGCTATCTGTGTTTGTCTCTGCTCTGCAGTGGTATAAAGATGGATGGATGGATGGATGGATGGATGGATGGATGGATAGATAGATAGATAGATAGATAGATAGATAGATAGATAGATAGATAGATAGATAGATAGATAGATAGATAGATAGATACTGATTCTGAAGGGCATTTAGCAGCCAGCAGCAGTCATACAAAACAGCACAGTTATAATAATAAGGGTGGGTACAATATGAAAAGAAGAATGTACAGGCTCAGCAAAATTGTCAACTATAAATAATATTGTCAACTACAAATAAATCTCGCTTATTACAAAAGAGGTAGGAATATATACAAAAAAACGATCTACAGGCATATTAAGAAATATATTTAAGAAATATCACTAAAGTTCGGCCTTTTCTATCTCAGAGCGACGCAGAGAAACTTGTTCATGCATTTGTTACAAGCAGACTTGACTACTGTAATGATCTTCTTACTGGACTTCCTAAGAAATCTATACATCCCTTACAACTCAACTCAACCAAATGCAGCAGCGCGCATCCTAACAAAAACAAAATAGAGAGATCATATCACTCCCATTTTGAAAGAACTGCACTGGCTGCCTGTATCATTCAGGATAGATGTTGAAGTTCTGCTACTAGTTTTTAAGGCTCTAAATGACCTTAAAGCACTGCTTACATCACAGAGTGTCTGTCCGTTCATGTCCTGGCACGTAATCTAAGATCTGCAGATAAAGGCCTTCTGAAAAACGTGGAGATGCCTCTTTCAGTTACTCTGCTTCTGAACTGCAGAGCTCAATTCCACCTTTTATTAGACAGTCTAGCTCAGTGCTCACTTTTAAGAAGCACCTAAAAACGTATCTCTTTAAATTAGCATTTAAAGCATTTGTCTCATGGTGTTTATCTTGTAATTTAATCTTCTTTATTTTCTTCTGATTCTAATTAAGTACTAATGATCTCTTCTATAACTATGTTTTATCACCTGTCTGTAAAGCACTTTGAGCTGCCACCAGCATGAAAAGTGCTATAGAAATAAAATTATTATTATTATTATTATTATTATTATTATTATTATTATTATATACAACTAGAAATATACAAAAATATCTAAAGATCTATCCTGAGATAAAAAAGGCTGTGCAATAATAAATGAACAAGGAGGCGCAGATAATAACATATAATGACAATGCTGAATAAATATGTGCATATATTGGTAATGAAAATAAAGTGTCTAGGTGTGGAGTAGTGTGCAGATGTGCAAGATGTGCAATAAGGTGTCCATGTGCAGATAGATAAAATACACCTATGATTTAGCATAAGAGATTCAGTCCTCATCTATCCTCTTCCCTCTTCTAGCAAGAGTTGAAGAGCCTATTGGCTCTAGGGACAAAGGATCTCCTGAGTCTGTTGGTTGAGCAGCTCTGTGACAGCAACCTGCCACTAAACATGCTCCCCTTGTCTGTGATGATGGTGTGCAGTTTGGTGGCCATTCATCATCCATAATGGAGAGCAGTTTGTGCAATGTCCTTCTCTCTGCCACCTTAACCACAGAGTCCAGTTCCACACCGACCACTGACCCCGCTCACCTGACCAGCTTGTCCAGTCGCATCTCATCTCTCTTTTTCATGCTTCCTCCCCAGCACACCACAGCATAAAAATGACAGCTGGCAAGCACAGTCTGATAAAGCATCTGCAGGAGCCTCCTACAGATGTTAAAGGACCCCAGCCTTCTTTAGCCTAGAGGATGGCTAGCATTGGCTATGCATCAACAGATCGGCAACAGTCTCTAACTGTAGACCATTAGGATGGACTACAACGCAGCCAGTAAGTGTACACAGTGCACGAAAATAAGACTATTTTCTTTTAGGTAAATAAATACTTTCACATTCTTTCAGGTCACATCATGAATCCTTTCAGATTCTCTAGGTGATTAATCACTGGCATTTACTTTCCAAAGTTTTTTCCACACTCGATAAGATCATCTATTAAATGACTAATGGTTAATGTACATATTGCTTCTTGTTTGCTGAAGGCCTGCAGGTTTGCAGAAGGTCTAATTCATGGTGTTGGTGGAGCCTAGAATAGTTATTCATATTGTTGCAAACCATGTTTAACCCTTTTTTTACAGTGGCCATTAAATGCAATTTCAGCCTGTATTTGAGGTCCCTCAATTCAGCCTTGTATTTTATTTTTTGTAATTACATTAGAAATAAAATATGCATATTAATTACATTACAATTATATTTTGAATTAAACAATTTTATTTGATTATATTGATCCAATAAGTCCATTTCCATGGATCACTCCAGCTGCACCCTGGCCTCCCCCTCTGAAGAGTCAGAACATGGACTCTTCCATTTTGTATTAGCTCTATGCGGCTTCAGCTCTGCCCTGGCTCCACCCTCTTATAACCATCAGATAAACAGCACTTAAAGCTTTCATCTTTGAGAGAAAGCTTCAGATCTGAAAAAATCCACAGGTGTTTCTGTCCATCAGTTTGTCTGACCGCATGCCAAGAAAATTTTGCAACTCCCATATTCTTTGGCTTGGTGGCAGTGGGCCAACTCTTTCCTCAAAATTGTCCTGATGGGTATGTCCATATACTGAATGAATGTAGTCGGTGTTACGACTCTTCGGGTGTGAGATGCAGCTACAATGTAGTCAGAGAGAGTGAGGCGTGATTGCAATCTTTTGTTGGTCATGTTTTTGTGGGCAGAGATATGGGGCTGGAGTGTATGGCTTGCCATTGGGATTACTTGGATCATGAGAATCAGAAAATGCAACCAGCTTCTAAGACTGAACTTTTTGTAAGAAAACATATGAGGAAACCATATGTAATACACATCTGCTGATGGAAAAATATCTGCAGATTTTTTGAAAAACTGGAGGCAAGTCTGCTGCAGAGATCCAAAGCCATGCTAAAGTCATTGAGGCTTCTTTTGAATTTTCTGTTAAATGTAAATTTAGTTTTCTGCCTTTTTCCTGATGTTGAAATAGGAATATTTTGTACTTTAAAACTATGATATTACAACATACATTACTACTAATTCAATACCATTAAGGTAGTGTTGTGAGGAAAAGCAGTGTTGGAGTCAGTGCTAAATACCACTCTGAATTTACTTGATTCAAAAGTGTACATCATTTCCACAGTACTGCACTGCTCTCAGTCAGTGTCAATTAAAACATTTATCTGTGTTTTGTATCACAGCAATGACACAGCAACAACTATTTTAATCAATCAAAACATCTTATTCTGTTTATTAAGAAATGATTCAGTACTTTTCAATCATGGATTCACATTACAGGTACACAAAATATCACAAAATATAAAATATTCCAACATACTATTAGTGCTAAAACCAGACTACCATGATTTATTGTTTCACTGTGGACTGAGTTCTGCCTAAATGCTGCACGTTTGTGTGAATGTATGAAGGGTTGTATATGAATGCATATGTATGGTATACAGAGCATCAGTCCAGGCTGTGTTAAAGGATTCCTGATGGTTCATGGCTCCGGTTTCTCGCTGACATGCAGTAGGAACAGACCCACTGATCACTGTGCACAAAACAAAACACATAAGGATGAATAAAAATACACATGGACGATTAGAAACACACAGGCTGTTGTAACAGTGTTGTCAACTTTGTTGAGGTGACTAGAGTGAGATTCTCAGGTGGCTGGAGTGAGATTATCAATTTTGCATGCACAAGAGAAAATCTTATGCTCCAGCTTTTTCAAGGCCCTCCTTGCTTCGGTCAAAATCACATCACTTTGTTTCCACTCCACACTGCTGACACTGTCCTGAGCTAATGACAAAAAAGGCAGAGCTGTGGGAGATACACCGTCTTCTCAACAAGCTAGAACAATGGCCAATCGGATGTCTTTACGTTCAGCATTGATGCTAGGACTGTACAAATAGTGAGGCCACTGAGTGGCCAAGCCAATTTTAGAGTTTCCAAAGGTCATAAACCTATATGATTCAGAATTTTGGCTCAAAAATGACTGATCAATGAAGCCTATTCCATTTCTTCAAGTTTGCTCCAGGTTTATACACATAAATGATACTACCCTATCAAGGACACAGTCGGCTTACAATTGGCCTCTACTTGTGAATCATTAAAAAAAGTTCACCTTTTCTATATAAAAGTGCTCCTTCATTCAAGTACCATTGGTCAGACTGTGAATCTGAAAGAAAGGCTGTGAAAATGAAGACCAAAGAGCCTCCTGAGGACGTTTTAAGACATTAAGAGGATAGGAAAAGACTAGAAAATAACACCTAATTCTCCGTGAGTGAAAGAAACTTCACCTTTCAGCAGGACAATGATCCTGAACACAAGGCCAAAGCAAAACAGCAGTGGTTGAACAACAAAAAACACTCTCTCTTACCCCAGTGTGTCGTCCTGTAGGGGCGGGTTGTGGCAGTGATGATGAAAAGCTCGTGGACATTCATCACAACACACCAGGTCACCATCAGAGTTACAGATGAAGCACTGGTCATCATTTTTCTGATCCAACTGAGGTTAATACACACACACACACACACAATTCATTAAATGTGGAAAAAAGCTCAGTCTTATTGTATTAGACTGCAATAAAAAAAACAAAAAGTAAACATGGACAATAACAAACACTCTGTTCCAAAACTGGAGAATTGAAAAACATGAATCTAAAAGAAAATCCTAATTTGATCATTTGTAGTATTTTTTACTGTAAACAATTCTCAGTAAGTTTCTCTAGAACAAAGTATTTCATATCAAACCACTCTGAATGACCTTGTTTACATCTTAATGGTTTAAATAAACAGAAATTTTGAATTCCAAGATCAGTGGAATTCCACTTTAAGGCTTCTATGATGTTTGTAATTGTGGGGGCAGACTGAAGGTGGTGCTCTGATGAGTGGACACTGCCAAAGTGATATCAGATTTCTCTCTGGTTAGTGGTGTGTGTGTGAACAGGGCAGCTAGAGGCTGAGAGTGTTGCCGTGGGGACCGGGCTGAATTGGACGTACCAGGTTTTCTCCACTGCAGCTGGAACACACACAGTTGACTGCATGAGGTTCTAACACCCTATTCTAGAAAGAAGGAAACAACAAAATAAGACATACACAGACATAAACCAAAGAACTGAATCTACTGCTCTTTGTCTCTTTACTCTTTCTCACACACACACACACACGGGGAGAACATACAAACTCCTTACTGGAAGGACCCCGGTTGCCCGGCCAGGGAACTGAACCCAGACCCTTCTTGATGTGACGCATACTCTTTCTTACTCTTTTCTAAATAGCTAAAACACTAGGTGGATGAAGTAGAAAAGAAAGCTTTTGCACTTCAAAATGCATTGGTTTACCTTTTTGAGATAATTTGTACTTATTTGAAAATATTTTAAGATTCATTAGATAATTTAATTAAAGATTATCAGACTCCACTATCCAAAGTAAAATAAAATCTATAAAAGATACTACAATGTTATTTTCAAAGTTTCTCTCTGATTTGGATGTCTATTTCAATGACTTTTTAACTTTAAAGTAATCGTCTGGTGAAAAATCTAATTTACACAATCTTCCACATACTTGCTTAAACTACGTCTACATTAGAGTAGTGCAGGCTTGCTGATGCGGTTAGGGACACAGCATGGCTTACTGTTCAGCTATAAAACTGAACAAAACTGAACAAAACTTCACAGCGTAGCTATACACAGCCATTTTAGACCACTGGTGCTGTGCTGAATTCTGATTCCCCTTAGACTCCGAGATCACATTAGCGATTTCTGCTCTTTTTATTCATGAATAGCTGTTAACATTGAATTTATAAACAGAAACAATAGAAAATGAGAATGGAATCTAGTGTTCATACGTCCATATGACTCTGAGAAGTCTGAATTTCATTGCAACATATACATAAAAAATTTTTATTGGATTTTTTGCTGAACCACTCCTTTAACATCTGGTATCATCTAGGGCAGCAACGAATAGCTGACAGTGTTGATTGTTGAAAAAAAAAGTTTTCATTATTGTTTATTTAAGCTGTATTATTTACGCTCTTTAATACTCTATAACGTCCACATGATACACAAGGTCATTCTGATTTGTAATACCCAACATGAACTATAGGGGGCTTCTGTTGTTTTATTGCGCCATAACAGAAGGAATCTCTTGTAGAACAGACAGATCTGTGATGAATGGTGGCGTCGTGAGAGGGCAAAATAAATGCATAATGGCTCGATCAGTCTAAAAATTCAGGTATAGTTGTAAGCTGCAGCCCTGGAAAGATCACAGAACCAAAATGCTGCTCTTTACCATTATCAGAGTTCCCAGAGGCTCTCCATGGCTAGTGATGTCTCGTCTCCAGTTTCCACCATTCATGTTCAGATTCAGGAACTGCTGGGGGGTCAGCCAGGAATCCTCTGTTCTGATGCATTTACCACACCTCTCTGAGACACAGACATTTGAATCACACCAAAACATTCTTGAAGGTGAACAGCATTACATAGTATTTTCTACTATTTGTTCTACTATTTCCTTTAAAGTGCTAATCAGTTAATTAAAGAGAAACTGGCAAAAAGAAAAACTTAACCATCACTACTGTCTGTTGTAAACATGCTTACTCACATCCTACAGTGGTGCTGCAGTCTTCTCTAAAAAGACATTTTTCACTTTAAAAGGTAGGAAGACCCCCTTCCAATGATATATCTTGAAGGTGGAGGAATATTTGAAAAACTACTGCTTAGTGGTGAATTTTTGGGGGATCGGATTATTCAAACAACAGAAATGACTCTTCAGATGAGGACAACAAGCTAAAAGCTACATGAGGTAGCTAGCTACCTGGGTATGGCTCCTATTCTCTGGCTGAAAGGGCAAATTTCAACCATGAATGAAGACAGAATCTGTATTTTCTTCACAATTTTGTTAAACGATAGAGTTAAGAGTTCTACTTATGCTACCTTGGTTGTATTTCTTAGCTTATAGCTCCGTTGTAAGATAGCAGTCAGGATTTGTTGACACCGCTGGGATTCCCAATGTTTGTGTAATGCACAGTATTTACATAAATCAAGCTGGGTATTGTAGTGAGAGAACACAGATGAATGAAAACATGAAAATAATATAAAATTGTGAACTCAAACCAGTAAGACTGTGAGATACAACTCTGTGCCACAGAATACCATGAATAACATGAATAATAACAAATTGAAAGCTAGTTTTAGGTCAGAAAACCCCTTTAACAAGGCAGTAGAATAATAGTGTGTGTTGCAGAAGGAAAGGCATTTCAGCATTATGTTTTGTTTATGGGCTATACAGTGCACTATACAGTAAGCATTAACACAGCACAATCAGTAAACACTGCTCTAGATAGTAATTACAAAACAGTCACTCAACTCTTAAAGTTCTAGTTTATATTGAGTCTATGTTGATGTGCATTGATATTAAAAGCAAGGGTTTAATTGTAGACACAAACTTACACACACCTGTAGCAAAGCGACTTTTATGTAGAATTCCTCTCCCTGCAGAACACGTGACTGGAAAAGTTTCACCTTGGAACTGTGTCATATCAGCATACTCTTCATCATCCCCGTCATCATCACTACTGCTGTAGTCTGAGCTGGACTCTACAAGGAGGCAAGCAAAAGAAGACACTGAATATACAAGAAAATAATTTCAGCTAAACAAAACCCACATTTATATACACAGCATTAAGTCTCATGACTCAAACATGCATATTTTTATGATTGTGACATAAAATGATACTGGCCAGGACTAAAATGCCACAATAGCAAATCTCAATATTTGAATAATTATCTATTCAAATGCACAGTGATACCAGAATGATATCAGGGTTAGCAGATAATCTGTAACCCTACAGAAATATTTTTTTTTCTCACATTCTCCATTTCTCAGTAAAGTTAATTCCAGTCAATTTAGTCCCAATTTACATATTTTATGCATGTTTATGCATCAGCATTATCAGATATGTACATGAAAAATATCTGATATCAGCACTGGCCCATAATTCCCTTCTCAAGTAAATCCCTACAAATATAAATTCTTTTTCTTCTGATTTCTATTATTAAACTCCATCGTATAGTCCCATGGGTTTTGTTTAACGTCAGAAAAGTGCTTTAGTACAGTTGTAAATAAAGTACATTTCATAGTTTTGATCCCCGCTCCTCATGTGTCTCTTTCAACAACAGTCTCTGTAGCAGGAATCACGTCCGAGGCAGATACATCTCAGAAACCCATGTTTTTTTTTTTTTTGAGTTTTACATCTTGTTGGAGTCTTAGCAAACGCTCAGCAGCTTTGCTAATTGATACCGCACTGTGCACTGAAACTAAACGCAGGCAGTGATGTACATGGGTAGGACAATATGGTCTCTATACAGTCTATTTTACAGAGACTATTTAAAAAAAATCACTAAATTAAAATTAAATTAATAAAAAATTCAAGTTGTATGCATCAAAATTAAATCAGACAGAGCAAAGTCGGCATTTACAGACTTAGCAAATGACATTGGTAGCAAATGTCAACTTTTTCGTCTATGTGTCTCCACCCCTATTGGGTAAGGGGTTGTGATTGTGTTTGTGAAAATGGGCTAAAATTGTACACTGTATGCCTGGCTGACAGGAATCTGCCAAGGAGAAATGTTGAATTTGAACAGCAACTTTGCATCCGACTGTCACAGAGTCAGTACCACTTCACTGTGTGAGCAGACCCTTGTTCGCAGCCAGCTTGAGTTGTGTGTTGATTAGCATGGCAGCGTAAACTAGGCTTCTGTCACATGGTATCAGGTGGTATCAGATGTTGGTGTTGGGCCCTTTCATATAAGTAAGAGTAAAGAGCACAGTATCGGGCTGATAACTGATACCAGTACTAGTATTAATGCATCCCTAATAAAGGATCATATAAAATGAGTTGTATTGACTTAATTCAAAGTAAATAATAAAGACACTAACCTGTAACATGTCTCGTACTCCCGCTGGGTGTGAACAGCTCTCTCCTGCACTGGTGGTTAAAATGACAAAACAGGTGTTAACAACTTGTTCCAAACTTAAAGTAAACAAATGAATAGTAATAACGACCATACTGTGATATTTTTTGCCAGATACAGATTAAATCTAGCCTAAATCACACATTTGCCCAATCTCCTTTTCAGCTATGTCATTTAGTTATCATGTGACCTTAACAATCAGTCCAGTAATTTAGTGACCTTTACAGACATTATGTACCCATTATTGTTGTTACAGTAATTCCATTGACTTTTACAGTCGTTATGTGACCATTATAATCGTTACAGTCATTCCAGTGACCGTTACAGTCATTAAGTGACCATTATAATCGTTAGTTACTCCAGTGACCTTTACAGTCATTTATGTGACCATTATGATCAGTACAGTCATTCCAGTGACTTTTACAGTCATTATGTAACCATTATAATCATTAGTCATTCCAGGGACCTTTACAGTCATTAAGTGACCTTTATGGATATATGAGTGTAAAGATTAGTCATTCCAGTCACTGTTCCATTCCAATGCATCTTTAATCTTTACTGTCATTATGGCAACCTTTACAGTCATTCCAGTCACTATTAGTCCATCATTATTCTTTATCGACATTATGGTGACCTTTAGAGTCATTAAGTGACCATTATAATTGTTACAGCCATTCCAGTGACCGTTACAGTCATTATGTGACCTTTATAGATGTATCATTGTAAAGATTATTAGTTGTTCCAGTCCAGTCTGTTAGTTCATTATTAGTCTTTACAGTCATACCAGTCCTTGTTAGTCCATTATAACTCTTTATTGTCATTATGGTGACCTTTAAGGTCATTCTGTTTCCTTTATAGATTTAGAGACTGTAGTACCTCTGCATCCTGTATCTTCCTCAGTTTGAATGATGGAGATGAAAGAAAGCCTTCCTACAAAGCAAAAGTTAAAGAAGAGCAGTAAGATGTCTACCATGATGTCACAACATTTTTAGTATTTCCTGCTCCCAAAAACAACCTGATGCAATTATGGTAATATTAGATAATCCATAATTGCATAAGGAAGGTGAAAGTCAAAGGACAAAGGACAAGTGAAAAAAGGGCTTTTTTTTTACTGGAGTTATTAATAAAATATACTGAGAAAATTGAACTAACATCTGTGCAAGACCTGGTAGACCACCAAAAATCAGATAAACAGTACTTTTTGTCCATCCTTCAACTGTGAGAAGACCTCAACACCATGGGTCTGAAAGGATGTGTAGCTGTCAAGAAGACATTACTGAGAAAAGGAAACAGACAAACAATAAGAAAATCTGCAAATCAAAGAGAGAAGCCACTGGTGTCCTCAGAACAATGGACTGACCATCCCAGACAGACCTCAACATCACTGAATGTATTTGGGATAACTCAGATCGTGAGAAGCAGAAATGCAACCACTTTCTAAGACTGAACTTTTTGGACCACCCCAGAGTCCAGACCTCAACATTACTGATCAGCAGTGGTGGGAACAAGTCACTAAGTTGCAAGTAACAAGTAAGTCTCAGGTCTTGACACTCAAGTCCAGAGTCAAGTCCCAAGTCAAGATAGTCAAGTCTCAATTCAAGTCCCGAATCAGTAAGAGCCTCAAGTCTCAAGAGTCTCAAGTCGAGTCCTAATCTTCAAGTCCTAAACAAGTCAGTATGAATTCTTCAGCTAATTTAAGGCCACAACACTGCATAATGGTAACAGTACTACAGACTTTAACTACAGCATGTTAGTAGTGTGTGGCTGTATAGATAATCACACTCTTAAAAAGGTTCTTCAAGGGTTCTTTAGTAAAGAAAATAGTTCTAAAAAGAACCATGAACTCTCAAAGAACCCTTTACATTATTAAAGCGGTCTTTGCATTGTAAAAGGGTTCTTAAGAATGTTCTGTAGATGGTTCTATATAGAACCTTTAATAAAGGGTTCTATAGAGCACACAAAAATGTCAAGCTTGTAACAATAGGAGAAACCTTCTGAGTGCTTTGTAGAACACTTTTCAAAAAGATTCGATACAGAACCATCTACAGAACAATCTGCATCAATCTGAAGAACCCTTTCATGAAGCAAAGAACCCTTTATTCATGCAAAGGGCTCTTTGAGTGTTCAGGGTTCTTTTCTCGAAGTCCGAATCACTGGTGTTCAAGTCAAAGTCGAGCTGCAAAGTCTCGATTTTCTGAAGTCGAATCTAAAGTCATCAAATTTGTCCACACCTCTGCTTAATCAGTGTTTGGAACTATTTGGATTGTGAGAAGCAGAAAATGCAACCAACTTCTAAGACTGAACTTTAGAGGTGTGAAAAATATCCCTACAGATTCCTTTGAAAAAATTAAAAACTGAAAGCGAGTCTCCTGAAAAGAATGAAGGCTTTAATAAAAAAAAGATGGACACACTAAATACTGCAACGTCTGATATTATACTTAGTTTTTGAGGCTTCTGTGATTTTCTCTTAAATTATATGTTTTCCGCTTTTTTCCTGATTTTGACTGTAAATTAAACAAATGAAAGGTCTCTGGCTTTTGCACAGTACTGTAGAGAATTATGAGTATTACATAGATTTTTCAAAGATTTATAGATTCTGTACCTGTCCTTCATTTCTTTGCACTTACTGACTGAATGTGCAGTTTTTCAGTGATGCAAAGGTCTCACATGTCATGGCTATTTACCTGTATAAAGGTTTGTAGAGGAAGGTGTTGATAAAGGATGCTAGTTTTCCACTTCTTGTGTTTCTCCATTCCTGCAAACTTTTCAAATTGCGAGGGGGTGAACCACTGACTTTGAGAGAGGATGCATGGCTCACCTGCAGAATAGGGGGGGATGATTGTAGTAGTTACTTAAAAGTTTGAACATCCCAGAGTGCAGCACTAATATAATAGGTTGTATATGTAAACAACATCATTAAACAAAATAACAGCAATGATATAAACAATGATTCTTCTTCTTCTTTGTCCAGCTATAATCATGCAGCTACATTTAAGCCACCACTATGAAAACTAAGGAATCACTAAACCACGTTTAAACACTTGATCTATTTAACTGCACCTGGCCTGCTCCTGGGCCGTCACTACTTGTGGGCCACAAGTCAGTGCTGAATGTGGCCTAGGTTAAAACCATATTAACATCACTATCTAGGATTGTATCTATTGTGCCTCTTTGGTCATATTAAAAATCACTACTTCACATTTTCCCCCTAATTAAAAACAGAAACAACTAAAGAAATAAAGAAATTTGCAAATAAATTAGAAATGTTCATTTTTATTAGTCAGCAGAGTTTTTGTCCACTAGAGAGCGACACAACACTATAGTAAGCTACTCTAGCGTGTGCCGTGCTGTGCTGTGCTCCGCTTTCTTCTATTTAAGTGGCTAAAGGAGGTTTTTCTTGCAAGGCAATACAATACGCACACAGGTACCAAAAAGCAGCAACTAATATGAAGCATGGGCATAGGGTTGAATCTTGCCCTGCCTTGATTGAAGGTTAGTTAGATAATGAACTGCTCCTTTTCCTGTTCTGAGTACTTAAATTCCTGTAAAAAGAGGTTTTGAGTTATGCTAATGCATTGTGTGCTATGGATGAGCCTGGAAAGTGATTTATGCAAACAGTAAGCCCTTAAAGGCTGTGTGTTACAGTTATTTACATAGTAAAATCACTGCACTTGGTCTTAGTTTATTTCTTTTTATAAAGTGGCAAAAATTTCACTATGACAAAACAGGGCACTGACTGATAAATAATTTAATATATTTTTAAGAATAATCACAAAAAATAAACAAAATAACAGTAAAAAATATATGATGCATTGCATTATGGGTTCCACCATATTGATAGTGTTCGTTCTTTGTTTATATGCTACAAATACTCACACACACTGTTTTTAATGGTTTTAAGTAGGCTGTTCATGCTCAAAAGTAAACCAAATGAAAAGGAAGTATATCTTAACCAACTCCAGAGGGATGCCAAATAATGATATAATGATAAAATTAGCTTTATTGGCAGTATGGATTAATACAAACTCCCAAACAACGAGTGGCATTTTTTAATTGTTGGATAACAGGACACTTTTCCACTTCGCCTCAGTCCATGTTAAATGAGCTTGGGCCCAGAGAAGGTGGCAGCATTTCTGGATCCTGTTTATGTATGTTTAGAGTTTTAATTTGCATTTGTGGATGCAGCAATGAACTGTGTTCACAGACAGTGGTTTTCATAAGTGTTTCTGAGCCCATGCAGTGATTTACACTGCAGAATCATGTCTGTTTTTAATGCAGTGCCCAAAGATCACAGCCAGCCAGTATTGGTTTTCTCTGGATTCTCTGAAACGTATTATGTACCGTAAATGATGAAATTAAGTTCTTTGCTATATTATGTTGAAAAACATTATTCTTGAATTGTTGCACTTTTTGCCTGCACTGACTTTTACAGAGTGGTGAACTCCTCCTGATCTTAACTTCTTTACTTCTGAAACATTCAGCCTCTCTGGACTGCTCTTTTCATACCCAATTATTTTACTGACCTGTTGCCAATTGACCACCAGGTGTTTTTTTAGCAATGCACAACTTTACCAGCCTTTGTTTTCCTTGTCTCAACTTTTTGAAATGTGTTGCTAGCATCAAATTCAAAATGGGCAAATATTTTTCAGAAACAATAAAATTTATTTATTTAACATGTTGTCTTTGTACTATTTTCACCTATACTGTCACACACATCATTGTATTCTGTTTCTATTTACATTTTGCACATTGTCCCAAACAGGATTGCACTGTTCCTCAAACTGCAACCTTTCTGCAAGCCTGCAGAAAAGGAGACTAGTGTGCTGGGGGGGTGTGGCTTCAAAGCCAAAGCATGTTGGTTTTTGAATAGCCTCTCATTTTTTCAACTTATACTCTCCAAACCCAGTGATTAATGTAATCAAACATGATAGAACTTACTGTTGTTGAACCTCTCCTTATACAGCTCGCCTTTTATACCTCCACATGTGACTGTAAGCAGCTGATTGTTCCTGATTTTTTCCCCCAGTAAATTGTTCAAAGAGGGGCCTGAAATAAATGTGCATAGTTCCAGGTTTATGTCAAGAGAAAATAGAAGTGTAGATAAACCTAGTTTCAACTGCTATGGACCTCTAGGATTTGTGTTTAGTTTTTCCTTTGATGAGGAAATATCAGCTGAAAAAGGAAGGAAACATCCCATGTTCCTTTTACCATTTGTCCAGTGTGAAAATGACTAATCCTGCAATTTTGGGCCTTAAAGTGACACAGTACTGTGCAAAGGCCAGAGACCAACCTTCACTTATTTAAATTATAGTCAAAACAGCCATTAAGTTAATTTTGCAGGAGATATTACTGAAGAGAATACATATAAGATAATCCACTTGCATAAGCAAGATGCAAGTCAAAGAAAAATAAAAGGAAAAAAACAGTGTAAGACCTGTTGGCCACCAGAACTGACCCCACTTAAACAGCACTTAAAGGTTTCATCTTTGAGAGAGAGGAGAAAATCAAGCTCCACTTTTACTTCAGATCTGAAAAAAGGTGTTTCTGTCCATAAAAGTAACAAGTGGATGCACTGAATCCTAAAAACTGTGATATTATATTTTGGCGTTGAGTGTTAAATGTTATATGTTATAATGTGTTTTCTGTTAAATAAATGAAGGGTGGTCTCTGGCTTTGTCACAGCTCTGTATTTTGGCCAAAAAAGTAAATTTTACACAGTTTACCTCAAATATAGTCAATCAGCCAGCACGTTTTCTGTCTGAGGTTTGCTTTTTAGTTTTGTAATGGAAGTTTATAGCCACTAATTAGCTTCATGCAAACTGCATTCATTAATACTCACATAATTATCTCAAAGCATGTTTTATAAATTATCTCAAATAGACTTGCTTGTATGGTTTTTGACAATGGAAGACATTCTGTTATCTATAAGTGTTTATCTAAAAAAACTACAGGTGACACTTTATTAACAAACACTTAACAGACTCTCAGTAACATGTCATAAACATATGAGGGTTAGGATTAGGTTTTGAGTTGAGGTTAAGGTTAGGGTTAGGATTAGGTTTTGGGTAATGTTTGGTAAGGTTAGGGTTAACAATATATCTACTTAATGTAAGTAATGTATCACCAGTGCATCTTCTAGATATTTACTTCAATGTATCCAGATGCTTCACTACTGCCACTCCACTGATATGTTGTTGATGTGTTACTGATAACCTGTTAAGAGTTTATCCATCATCTACAAAGGACCACTCCAAATAAAGTGTTACCAAACTACATCACTATAGTTTTGTCCATTTTATAGATAACAGTGTGTCATACAATGTCAGAAACCACATAAGCCAGTCTGTTTGAAATTAGTTACATATTTTTATTGAAACAACTTGTCATGGTTTGCAGCTCTAGCTATATAGCTCCAGTATAAAACTATAGAATCAAACTTCAGACATCAAACATGTCTTGGCTGAGCTACATTTGGAATAAACTGAAAATTGTGAAGATTTGGTTTTTTTCACCATTTTTAACTGTTCATACTGCTGGACTTTAAACTGGGATTTGCCCTGAATTCCTGGTCAGCGTTGACTTACTGCTTGCAGGCCTGTTGGTGGGCGTCTTCTGATAAGAAGTGAGGACGGGGGACGGCCGAAGTTGACCATTCTTCTTGCAGCTCCTGGCCAACATCTTCCTCACTCTCTCTTGACTTCTCATCTTCTTTTGCTACTTTTCACTCAGCCAGTCAGAATCAAGAGTCAAAATCTCTGTTTCTGTGTCTTAGTCTTCAACCATCTTTAGCACTTTCCTGAAAAGTAAAGATTATATCCGCAATGCAGACGAGTTACATTTTAACCTGAATATTAACACTGTATTCATAACTGACTGGAATTATGAAGTTATTATGATATACAGTACTGTACAAAGGTCAGAAACCCACTTTAATTAATTTACAGTCAAATTGGCCATTAAGTATTCACTATTAAAGAGGAATTCCAATGACTTCTCAAAATTTCTTCAAAATGCAGACACTAAGATTTAAACAAAGTCATTCAGAGTGTTTTGATGTGAAATTACAGAGAAACCTATACTGACTCTGATTTCATTTGTTTACTATCCAAAACCACCAGTGGCCCTATATTTGTCTTCTGAGTTTTATATGTAATGTTGATGATGTTAAACAGTGGTAAATCTGAAAAAATAAGTTTTCTTTGGGGTCTATTTTGCTTCACAACACCCTGCATCTGCTCTTCCGCCACAAATACATTTAATATGTTTTAGACCAAAAGCTTCTCAAAACTATCATCAAAACAGTGTCAGGCACACAAACATGCATACATGTACACAAAACCACAAGTGTGAACTTTGTTACAGGCTGTCAGTGACTCGTTTGGGAGCTGTTTTTGTTAGGAGGTCACAGCTGAAACTGTTTGGTTTTAAGATTGGAAGGATGGCAGCAGTGCACAAAAATAAAGAGTGGACAAATTAAATACTGACAGATTAATATTATACTTAGTGTTCGTGGCTTTTGTGTAATTTTCTGTAAAATACACGTTTGCTGCTGTTTTTTCTGACACTGAAAAATGAATCACTTGATGGCTGTTTTGACTGTAAGTCAAATCAACGAAAGGGGCTCTGAGGCTAATATAATATCAGGGTGAACCGTGACTGTTAGAGCTAGGCCTTTAGATTGGGCCATAAACGTCAAAACTTTGTCAAAAACAAGCAAAAAAAAATCTCTAAGATAATGTTAATTTCTGCTAAGACCTCTATGGGATTCAAGTAGTATGTTAGCACTAAGCTAACAGCAAGCCTGTTCTAGTTTAAACACAGGCTTGAAATTTGTAAAGGACATTCCATGTTTTATTTGAAGCTTCTGACAGACATATTAACATATGTTTATCTTCAACTGCGGCCACTGTGGCCACTACCACTGGTTAGGCTACCATTAGTACCTGCAGTCAGTGACATGTTGAGGACTTCCAGACAGCTTACAGTAACATTTTTGCCTTACATAATTGGTTCCACACATTGCAAATCCAAATGTGATTGTTCAATTCTTCTTTCTCTTCCTGACTATCTTAGTGATTAATCTGACGCCTTTAGGCCTTCAGCCCTTCAGTCCAGCTCCTGAAGCCCTACCCAATGGTAGACCTCACTTGGCTATATCTTCCTGGGTATCTCGGAACAAGAAAATTCTGACTGGATAACTTTCCGTTAGGTGTTTTAAGAATTTAACCCTGGCTCCCGAGTGGCGCAACCGTCTAAGCGTTGGCCCTATCACGCGAGTTCGATCCCTGGTGATGCTACAGCCATCCGTAGCCGGGAGTCCAAGAGAGCACAGTTGGCCTCGCTCCCTCTGGGTGGGTAGGATGGCCCCTCCTTCTCCCCCCATCACTCAGCGCGATGCTAGTCAGCGCATGCGTCTGTTAGCTGACGTAACAGACCTGGCGGTTGACGCTTTCCTTCGAGCGCGTTCGGCTGTCCAGTGACGTTGCGTGAGCGGCAGCTCGAAAAGAAGCGGTGGTTTGCTTCACAGGTCTCGGAGGAAGCCTGTGTTAGCCTTCACCCTCCTAGCGTTGATAACATCGTGTGATTGGGGGAGTCCTAACTAGCGGGTGGAATTGGAGACGACTAAATTGGGGAGAAAAATCGGGTAAAAAAAAAAAAAAAGAATTTAACCCTTTTGTTTCCACCAAAAAAGAAGACTAAAGAATCAAACTTTGGACACCAAACATGTTTTGGCTGACTAATTAAGTTTGGGGGGAGGGGAAAACTGTGTAATTTTTTAAATGAACTGTTCCTAAAAACACTGTTGGGCTGAAAGAGTACATTAGTTTGGAAAAGAAAACTGTCAAATCATTATTTAGGCAAAGCCTGCACTTCATATCAAGGAAGCCACTTTGATGAAAAGTGTTGCAGCTAAAGTTGCCCAAAGTATTAGCAAAAAGCTATTTATGTCCATGAAGCCTTTGCAGGGATTTTTATTACTTAATTGAAACGGAGCAAAAGAAACAGAAATGTCTCAAAATTTTAAGAAGAAGTGTATCAATCCAAACCAACAACTGACAAACAACTCCTCTGAATGATGTGTGTCTCAGTAAACCGGTTTAATCATTTTGGTTCTGTTGTGATTTTGAGAGACAGTTGGCCAGACAGATTCAGTAGGTCATGTAACCTGTCACAATTATTCACACTGGTGGTGATAGGAACCAGACGGCTGAAGCATTTAATGTCTCAAAATCTCCCTCACAAAAAGTTATTACATGTAATGGTTTTAAATACACTGCCTGACGCCTGAGATAGTTTTAAGATAAGCTTTTGGCCTAAAATGCATTACTTAAAAGTCTATTCATGGTGGAGATGTACATGAAGGGTGTTTTAAGGCAAAATAGTACCTAAAAAAAACCTTGCCACAAATTTGCCATCATCAGCATTACATATAAAACTCAGAAGACACAAGTAGCTTCACTGGTTGTTTAATAAAATTGCTATGGTTCCTATCACCACCACTGTAAAGACTATCTGAGTTTGTATGTTTCTCTACAACGAACCATTTTCACATCAAACTACTCTGAATGTCTTTGTTTACATCTCAACCATTGAATTATGCAGAAACTTAAAAAAAAAGTGTAGAATTCCCCACTGCTGGGATAGGCTCCAGCTCGCCCCGCGACCCAGAAGGATAAACGGATTAGAAAATGTGTGTGTGTGTGTGTGTGTGTGTGTGGAATTCCCCTTTAAGTCTAAGCCTGAACTACAGTATTGTAGTGCTAGAGTTGTAGTGTCATAATAGAGTCTCCAAATTCCAGCAGATGGTTTGTTTTTATCCATAAACGCAAATTTTTGATTAGAAATAATTAGTTAATACACTCTTACTGGTTCTTCAAGGGTTCTTTAGTAAAGACAATGAATCTATATAGACCCAAAGCACCCTTTGCAAGCTCAAAAGGTCCTCTGCATGGTGAAATGGGTCTTCAGACTGATGAATGTGTTGTTTATATAGCACTAAACAGGGTTCTGCTACTGTTACGATGTCAAGCTTGTAACAATACAACCCCTTTTTTGGCTCTTAGAATCATAATCAAAAAAGGTTTTCACCATGCAAAGAACGGTTCTCTGTGTGTTCATGGTCCTATATAGAACCAGGAGGCCTCATTCGACAACGATTCTTAAGAAAAAAGATCTTCTTAAAACCGACTTACGCCGTTTTCACGAAGATTCTGACATTCGCCACTTATTGTTTACTTATTTGGGCTTTGTTCTTAGGTAAGAACAGAATCGAGACCCACTCAAGAGCACACAGTTCTGCGCTTTAAAAACACGTCATGAACTTGATGTAGGCTTTATATTAGGACCTTTCTCAAGAATAAATTTAAGAAAAAACGACATTGGCGAATGTAGCCCCTGCAGCTACACCAACTGCCTGCTCTGAGCTGAAAACTCAGCAGCTTTGATCCCGCCAATACTGCACTTGAACTTCCGGTGTTTGTCAAAGAAATTTCGAAAAAAAAAAACTGAAAGACTGGCGACGCAGAAAGAAAATAAGGATCAGATACAGATATAATGTGAAAGATCTGCTCACCTTGTGTAACAGTCCAGTATGTCTCTCTGTTATACTCATTAACAGACATGCAGACGCACACACACACTTAGCTGATAAAAGCTGCAGTGACGCTCAGATAAAACATGGAGGAGGAGTTTTGTACTGCTTTTCTTCCCTGTGTGATCTCTCTCCTCCTATGTGCTGACTTTTTTATATCTGTTTCAGTTTCTCTCTACGCCTTTTCCATGTGGGTGGAGTTTCTGTGGCTGAAGGCAAAACAACTTGCACCCGAAACTACTGGGTGCAAGTTAGTCACACAGCTGTCTACACTGCTAACAATTGTATTTTCACAAGTGAAATCATCTCAAATCTAGTTGTTATGTCTAATATACCTCATTTTCAGATTGCTGTGAGAATATTATGAGATTATTTGGACATTTTTACTTTTATAATATTATTAAGTGAAACACTTGTTTTACATATTTCTTTACAGTGGTGGTGACAGGAGACAGGGTCACAATGTCTAAAACTAAAACAGTCAATTTATTATTTATCCAAAACCACCAGTGAGACTACACACATCTTCTGAGTTACTATATGTAATGTTGATAACGGTGAAATACTGGTAAATCTGAAAAAATACATTTTCTTTTGGTACTGTTTTGCCTAACAACACCTTGCATGTACCGCTCTGCCATAAATTGATTTTAGAAGTTACATTTACCACAAAAAGCTTCTCCCAAAACTATCATAAAACACTGTCTCGGGCATCAGGCTGCATATTTGTAGCCATTTCATGTAATACCTTTCTGAGAGGGAGGTTTTAGAGGCATTAAACTCTTCAGACATCCAGTTCCTATCACCACCAACGTGAACAGTACTGACTCAGTAAGTTTTTTTAGAACACAATATTACAAAAACACACAATATTACACCAAACCACTCTGAATGACTTTGTTTATATCTTAGCCACTTAATTATGCAGAATGTTTTAAAAATCAGTGGAATTCCCCTTTAAACCACTTTAAAGACATGTAAAGGGTATTAAGTCTGCAGAAAACATACTTAGAATGAATATGGTTATTGAAAGTTACTGTTTTTAACCTTACCCTTAGAATTTCATCACTTTTGTAGGCATTTTTAAGACTTTTTAAGATTTTGGTCTGTCTCTGATGTTGATTGACCGTAGCACTGACCCTGATGGACTGTGTGGCCTGGCGAGTGAATGATGTATGAGTTTACGAAGTAGATTGAATTCTTGTACTTTAAAAATGTGATGAAAATTCTGTTTTCACTAATAGGAGCCCTTTAAGTCTCAGCACATTATGTTATTTTAAAGAAAACAAATAGGCGAAGCCACTCAATATTCTTAAAGTATTTCCTGGTGTCCTACAGTTATGTGTGTAGATGTGTTTTTGGCCTGAGATGTCACTGGGAAAATACCAGGAAGGGGGCTATTCTGTTTCTAGTACACACTGTCATATGAATATTGGTAACAAACCTGAGACAAGACAGAACAGAGCCTGTACGGTTTCTGTGTGAGTCAGTGTCTCTTAAAGTAGAAGCGTGTTAGAATATTAGAGTGGAGAGTCACAGGCGGCCTCTGTTTGCTGCGTGTAAAGACATAACTGCCTCAAGCTCTGGGGGATCTGATGCACTGAGACCAGGACAACGTATTTTATTACAGAAGTGCAGTCTAGTCTGAAGTAGTGGGTAGACTGTGAGCAGCTGTTAGCAAGACTAGCCAAGGTAGCACATAGAAACACAGCAAAAACAGATATTATTCAGTATTTAGAGGGAAGTTTAGTCTGGGGTCTTATTTTTACAAATTTCTCAAAAAGTCAATTTTGAAGATGTAAACAAAGTCGTTCAGGGTGGTTTAATGTGAAATGCTCCATTCTAGAGAAACTTACTGAGTCAGAATTGTTCACAGTAGTGGTGATAGGAACCAGATGTCTGAACAGTTTATGCTTCTACAAGCTACATCATAAAAAGTTATTGTATTAAATGGTTATAAATATGCTGTGTGATGCCTGAGACATTGTTCTATCATAGTTTTGAGATAACATTTAGCGCTACAATGTAACTTTTAAAATCTATTAATGACTATTTAATGAATTCTGTTTAAAGTCTTAAGGCTTCATAATTAAATCATTGAGATGCTTTCTAGAGAAACTTGTCGAGTCAGAATTGTTCACAGTTGTAGTGATATGAACCAAAACTCTTAAGCATTTAATGTTTTGAAACTCTCCCTCACAAAAAGCTAAAGATATATGCTCATTTTGAATTTGATGCCAGCAACATGATTCAAAAAAGTTGGGAAAGAGAGTCTTTCATAAGTAAAAATGGGGAGGGGTTCACCACTCTGTGAAAGACTGTGTGGGCAAATAGTGCAACAATTCAAGGATAACGTTTCTCAACATAAAATAGCAAAGAACTTCATTTAATCATCTACAGTACATAACATCATTAAAAGACTGAGAGAATCTGGAGAAATCTCTGTATGCAAGGAACAAGAGTGAAAACCAATATTGGCAGGCCATGAACTTCAGGCCCTCAGACAGCACTGCATTAAAATCAGACATGATTCTGTAGTGGAAATCACTGCATGGGCTCAGGAACACTTACGAAAACCACTGTCTGTGAACACAGTTTGTCGCTGCATCCACAAATGCAAGTTAAAACTCTACCATGTAAAGAAGAAACCGTACATAAACAGGATCCAGAAAAACCTTCGCCTTCTCTGGGCCCAAGCTCATTTAAGATGGACTGAGGCGAAGTGGAAAAGTGTCCCGTGGTTCGGCGAATCAAAATTTTAAATTCTTTTTGGTATTCATGGACACCGCGTCCTTTGGGATAAAGAGGAGAGGCACCATCCGGCTTGTTAACAGTGCACAGTTTAAAAGCCAACATCCGTGATAGTATCTGGGGGCATTAGTTCACATGGCATGGGTGACTAGCACATCTGTGAAGGCACCAATAATGCTGAACAATATTTACGGGTTTGGAGCAACATACGCTGCAACATTTTTTTCAGGGAAGGCCTTACTTATTTCAGCAAGACAATGTAAAACCACATTCTGCATGTATTACAACAGCATGGCTCTGTAGTAAAAGAGTCCAGGTGCTAAACTGTCCTGCCTGCAGTCCATATCTGTCAAACATTGAAAACATTTGGCGCATTATGAAATGAAAAATACGACAAAGGAGACCCATTGAATCCAATATCAAGCAAGAATGAGAAAACATTTCACTTTCAAAACTACAGCAACTGGTCTCTTCAGTCCCCAAACGCTTACAGAGTTTTGTTAATAGAAGAGGTGATGCAACACAATGGTAAACATGACCCTCTTCCAACTTTTTTTAAATGCTGCTGACATCAAATTCAGTCCCAACTTTTTTGGGAACAGGTTTGTGCATCTCAGTGATTGAATTATTCATACATTTTGAAAAATCAGTGGAATTCCCTTTTAAGGTTTTGTGTTTAGTTTTTCAGCTGTTCTAAATTTGAGTTAATTCAATACTTTCGGTCAAAGTTTAACATTCGGTGATCTTAACAGCCAAATGTATTTACTTTTTTAAATGAGTATATAAAAATTCTGGTGTTTTTATGGTGGGTGTATGACAAGAATGGAAGCTGTAATAAAGGCAAAGGATGGACACAAAATATGATATTTGATTTAGTTGTTGAGGCTTCTGTGTATTTTTCTGTTAAATGTGTTTCCTGTTTTGTTCCATATACTGAAAATCTAAAAACCTGTACTTAAAGGCTGAATTTGGCACAGTACTGTACATTATTCAGGTTTCTCTTTCACACTCCTGCACAAATATACACACCTTCACCTAATGCAAATATTTATTCATGTTTAATCCCAGTCACAGTACTAAGCCTGAGTGAAGGAGGAGCTTATATACATATATTTCATATACAATGAATTACAGACTACTCAGCAAAATGTATTTCAAGAATTCAATAAATGCTAAATTAATATATAGTACTAATATATAATATATAGTACTTAATATATAAACTAATTTTTTTGAAGTTATTTGCCTTGAGGTTTCACAACAACTTCATAGTGTCCTACTAATTATTTGAAAGCTTTGAAGTTGACTAGTATAGCAGTATCATTTTACACATTTACCTGCAACCTGTCATGCCTTGTACAAACTCACAGACTGAAATGGACTGCATTTCCCAAGCACCCTTGGGAGATCACGTGACTAGGAACTTCCCTTCGGAATCGGAGGCCGACGTGGACTCCATTACCCAAGAGACACATGGGGGTCATGTGACTCCCGACACATTCTCACACACCTGTCAGAGATCTCAGTCTCCTGAGCACTAACTGGATCCACCTGTGTGCCTAAATCATGTGTTTAGCTAGAGCAGTATATAAGCCCGGGCTTTGGTGAGTATCAGTGTGAGGTTATGCTTCCCTGAGAACATACTGAGCGTTATTTCTGATTGCATGATTTGTTTTTGACCTTTGCTTTGTTTTTGACTCTGCTTTTTGCCTGTTCCCTTTTGTATTGCTGCCTGGTATTTTGGATCTGTGTTTTGACTATTTCTGCCTGCCTTTTTGACCTCGTCTTTTGTCTTGCCCTATTGTTTTGTTCGCCTTGTGATATGATCACTTTCGTGATCTTTTTGCACTTCTTGGTTTTGACCCACGCCTGCGTTTTGACTACGTTTTTGCCTAGTGTTAATAAAACCCATCTTGTCAGTTTTATCTGCATGCGTCTGGATTCTGCTGAATGGTTACACAACCAGATTAGGTTTATATTATTGAAAACAGTGATTCCAAATGTTTTAAGGCTAGTGTACCTGTGTGTAACTAAAAAGGCAATTTTAAATCTTTAAACAAGACGTATAATAAATAAATAAGACAAATTGATGCAAATCTTTTAAATAAACATTTTATTGTAAGACATGATGAAACCAACCGTACATCTGAAATATAATGAAATGGGGCACCTGAAAACCACTGAGTGGCCGGAAGGGAAGTTTGGGGTGCAGCATATCCACATGCCACAAAATAATAATAAAAGAAAATCAAAAAACAAAACAAAAATAACCTCTGGAATATATAAAGTAAGAAATGTACAGTATATCTGTCCAAACCAGCTTCACATTCACAACAAATCATCAAAAGTCTACCCGTTTAGGAAATCTACTCATTTATCGTCCCACGACATACACTGTCT